TCCCTACAACATGAAACAACATGGGCATCTTCCACACATCTTCTCCCAAGGTTGGCAGGATGAAAGGATGACACTGAGGGGGAGAAATAAAAAAGCAGGAGTGGCTTTAAGGGAACCTGTGTCCTGGGTCATGGTCACCACCTTCTTGCAGATGATTGGATTGCATCTCACTTTGCTTTTGCTGAGGCAGAGCATTTATGTCAAAATTTTGTTGGGTCTTTTGACTTTTCCCACCCAGAATCTCCCATGCAGGAGGACTTTGTTCACATTGGGATTTGCAAGATGGCAACTTTCCAGTGAGCGTTTGCAGCCAGCAAAAGGGTCTTTCCTGACAGGTGTAGATGGGTCTTTTCATGTTCTTGTTTTGGCATGGTGTTTGTTCACAGATACTTTGTAATTGTCAATGCCATGAGTTGATCTAAGCACCCAAAGTTCAGATATACCTGTTCTGCTTTGTGCATCCTCTTTGGGGGGTGAAATCATCCCTGGAGGGACAGGAGGTGGAGGAGGATCATGTCCAGCAGCATTGGCTTTGCCAGGCTGAGAATATAACCACAGTGGGGTGGTTAAAGAAAGAAAATCTAAACCTTTATGACTTCAGCTGCATGTCCAAAGACTGATTTAGCATCACAAGACATACATCTCAGGCTCTCCTTCATGTCCTCCTTGTCTCATGTCCTCCTTCATTAGACTGACTCTCACACAGCCTGGACCAGCAGAAGGAGTCTGAATAGCAGTTGGATCCAAAGTTAACCCCTGTTTTTTCCCTTTTCCTCTCCAGTATGACCCCGAGCTCTCCTCCCGGCAGTTTGGTGTGGAGCTCTCCCGGCTGACCAGCGAGGAGCGAGCGGTGCCAGTGCTGGTGGAGAAGCTCATCAACTACATCGAAATGCACGGGCTGTACACTGAGGGCATCTACAGAAAATCAGGGTCCACCAACAAGATCAAGGAGCTGCGGCAAGGCCTGGATACAGGTGAAAGGAGGGAGAAAAAATGTCCACAGGGGGAGGCAAATCTCTGCAGCAGCAAGGTTAGGTGTAAGGAAGGTGGGATGCTTCAGCATTCCTGACTGTGGGCTGTGCAAGTGATGTTTTCACATTTCCAGCCAAAACTGAAGTCACCAACTTATGCTTACTTGGGTGCAATCCATGGAAAAAAGGTCATTCTAGTTGAGGCAAAACTCTGCCTTACCTTACACCACAGGAATCAAAGCCAGTGAGAAAAGAAATCCTGATCCTACCTGAGGATTTACCCTGGAAAATGCATTTCTCCCTAATTTTACCACATGGAGCTGAAATCAAGTGCTGGATTTCTTGCCATGAAACACAGTGTGGTTTTGGGGTGGCATATGGACTTCTTTTATTGTGGAGGAGTAGCTGATCATAGAACAGTTTGGATTGGGAGGAACCTTTAAAGGGCACCTAGTCCAACGCCCAGACTTCACTAACAGCTTGATATTGATTGTTGCTTCTTGGTTTTTATCTTTTTCCTCAATCTGCTGTCAAACCCAGATATTGATAATGTGAATTTGGATGACTACAATATCCATGTCATCGCCAGCGTCTTCAAGCAATGGCTCCGAGATCTGCCCAACCCTCTCATGACCTTTGAGCTCTATGAGGAGTTTCTGCGGGCGATGGGTGAGGAGCCTCCTTCATTATCCCATTCCCTTGGCAGAGGGAAACAGTGGCCACTTTTAGTGCCAAACTTTTTATTCACTCTTTGGTCCCAAACCAGCTGATTTTGCCAAATTATATTTACCTACTTTCATAGTTTGATTTTTTGGCTCTCAGGAGTTTTTTGCACAACGCCATGGGCAGTTTGGTTTCGCCTTTGGTAGCATCTGCATCACTGTTCAGCAGATTTCAACCCCAAAAGTTCTGTCTTTTAAGGAAGGAAGAAGCAGAAACCACTCCTAACTGCTGGTGCTTTCTCCACAGGCCTCCAGGAGAGGAAGGAGACAGTGCGGGGCGTGTATTCGGTCATTGATCAGCTCTCCCGCACCCATCTCAGCACCTTGGAGCGTCTCATCTTCCACCTGGTGAGGTATGTTGGGCCTGGGCAGATTTAGATAAGGGGAGGATGCTTGAGCATCCTTCCTACTGGAACAGCTGGGACCAAAAGCAGGTGAGCAGGGCACAGGGAAGAGCTTTCGGGTCCATCATGTCTCCCAGGAGGTGACCCCAGAGCTGTTTCTCCAAATGATACTTGTATTGATGAGCCAGCTCCACAGTGCTCTGGTCACTCGTGCTTCCTGTGGTCTGTGGTGCCTCTCACCACTTCAGGGACAGATTTTTTGGGTGGAAAATGCTGATGGTTTGCCTGCCTTGGGTACACCTAAGATGTCTTCAGGTTTGTCTCTCTCCAGAGGGCAGAGGAAAGATGAGATGAGAGCTAAGCAAGATTGCACTGTAGAAATGTCATCTCCTCTGTTCGTTCATGGCCACGTGGAAGAGGTGCAGTGGAGATGCTTTCAGCTCTGACTTCTCTCTCAATGCCTGTTTTTTTAGGATTGCCCTCCAGGAGGAGACGAATCGCATGTCAGCTAACGCCTTGGCCATCGTCTTTGCGCCCTGTATCCTCCGCTGCCCTGACACGACCGACCCACTGCAGAGCGTCCAGGACATCAGTAAAACCACCACGTAAGCTCGTGGTGCTGGGGGATCCAGCTCCATCCCCATGGCACCACTCACATCCCAGTAACCCTGAGGGACAGTCAAATGCCTCAAACACAGAGCTTTAGCATGGACATGATGAACACGTAGTAACTGCATCGTCATGAAGAGATTTCATTTTCCCTCAGTCCCCAAGAGGTTGTTAAATGTGGACTTTTAAGTGATGAAGGATCTCCAAGAGCAGATCAACTTCTGCTCCTGCCCAGCACATCTCAGCAGAAAAAGGTGGAGCTTGTGCTGGCATAGTTTTGTAGTTTATGCAGTTAATTTTTGGCAAGCAGATCTTGCTTCTTACTTAATTTTCTCTCTTTTATTTGAGGTGAGTTGTTTGGTCTGCAGCAATATTAATATACTGAGATTTATTTATGGTGGTTGCCATAATTGATAAGGTTTTACAGACAGAAAGTGAAGCACTTGCCCAAACTCAGTTTGACTCAGATTAAATAGATTTAAAAATAGATAATGGAGTCAGTTATAATGATGGAAACCCTCCAGAGAAGGGCTTGGCTTCCAAAAGAGGTGGTTTCACCTCCAGTAAGTATTGACAGGGTGTGCTTGGAGGCCCAGCTGGCAGGAGCACTTGTCCTGCAGCAGGACTTTGTTGTAGCTACTCCCTCAGACTTCAGCTGTAGCACATCCTCTCATTTTATTACAAGAAAAGGATTATTTTTTTTCCTCTCAGCACCCTCCTGAGAACATGAAACAGTTGGAAGCAACTTGCCTTCTCTGGGTCTGTATTTCCTTTATCCCTTTTCCAAGAGGAAATATTTTTCCCATAGGATCCTTGGAGGTCTTTAATTTCTCTAGTCTGTGTTCCTCAATCCATCCATAGCCTATTATCACTCTGTTCAGGGGAATTTCCACCACCCTTTGGCTTCCAGCTGGAGCCTTCTCCCTTCCATCAGGGCAGATCTTCAGGCAAGACAGAGACAGCTCAGATCAAATCACTTCCTCCTCCCATTGTGTCTTTCTTTTGTATTTCTTTCCCCCCTTAGTTGCGTAGAATTAATCGTCATCGAGCAGATGAACAAGTACAAGGCTCGTCTCAAGGACATCAGCAGCCTGGAGTTTGCAGAGAACAAAGCCAAGAGTCGCCTCTCCTTGATCCGCAGATCCATGGTGAGATGCCAAAGCCCTCTGGCCCCTCCTGTCCTCTCCTTGCCCCAGAGCCACTCTACCTTATCTTCTCCTGCTTATCCCAACCTCCCAAACCCCTCGCAACCTCCCACACCATCTCCCCCAGGACAGGGACCGTCAGCCCCATGGTGGCTCCTCACCTTTGCAGGAAGTCATACCAAAGCACAAGAAGGTGGGAACAGTCTGTGGAAACATGGTCCCTCCAGCTCAGAGCACCGTTTCCACCTTCATTTGAGATTGTTTGGTCCTGAGTCAAGCCTTTTGTTGGCTCTATGGGTAACCTGGACCATCTTTCGCATTACCTGAACCCAAAACGAGCTCCCCAAAGGCTCTCCCTGCTCCCACACTGCCTTTTTGGGAGCCTCCAACCCATCTCATTGAGCTTCCATGCTTCCTGGGGGTCTGGTGGGCTGCACATGCACGCTGTGCTTGGCTTGTTGGGCTGCGGGAGAGGGACGGACTTGGCACAGTGCGGTCGTCCCAGGCTTGGGCTAAGGAGCCGAGCAGCCCTCTCTGCTTGGGCCTGCCCTCTGTGATCCTCAGGGACACGTTGCTTCTGCTTTTTTGGGGATGAAATCCAAGCAGGGGCTGCCCAAGGTGGTGGAGCTGGTGCTGCAGAGCTGCCCCACTCATCCCAGTGGACAACAAAACCTAACAGTGAACAGAACGGGTTTTTGGAGGGGCGACGGCATGTGCACTCTAACCTTCTGCTTTCCTTTTCATCTCCTCTCTAATCCAGAAGCCTGTACTAATTGCAGTTAGATTTATGAGCATAACCCGCAGTTCAATCCCGGTATGTATTAACTGCAGCGCACCCCGTGCCAGCCGCCGCGTCCCTCCGTGTGTGTCACCGCCGCTCATTCCAGCTCTGTCCCACCGGCCATTGTCCGTGACGCTGCCCGTCCACTCCCTGAGCAGCTGCTGCTCCTCAGGGCCACTGTTTCTCCTGCAGGTCCCACGGGTCTGGAGTTGGGGACGGCCAGCACTCAGCCATCCCTGCACGCAGCTCCTTTTCCCCTTCCTACTTACTTAGTTTTCTATTTTGTTTCCTTTTTCCATCCTGTGCTTCCCTCCTTTTTTACTTTGCTCGACTCATCCCTTCCCTTTCCACCCCAGTTTCTCCTTGCTCAGGGTATGTTTCAGCATCAAGTTGCTTTCACAGTGCTGTTGTATCTGGATCTGGGTAAGACTCCCCAGCTCAGATGCCTCAGAGACCACAAGGCATCCAAAGGTCTCCTCCACCTTCCTGGAGGAGTTAACACCACTTTGAACGCAAGGTCAGGACACCCAGGTTGAACTGGGAGAGGTCCAGCAGCTCCTCTATTCCCCCAACTCCATCCCACCTTGAGTCTGAGTTCCCAATGAGACCACAACAGGCAAGAGAAACACCTGCAGGATTTTGGGAATGCTCTTGGGACTGTTTCCCTTCCTATCAGGCTCAGCCCATGATGCTAGTCCTCATCCTTCAGCATCTGCAAGAGTCAGGGGACAGAGCAGAGCAAAATTTGAGCTCTGCTTCCCTGATGCTGAGCACGGCATTTCGCAGGGGCTTAAGTCCATGGGCTAGTGGGATCTTCGGGATTTCAGGGGTTTTAGCTAATAGGATTCAGGTCGTTGTGCTTCAGCTCAGCAGCACACGTGAAAAGTGTCGTCAGAAGAACGTCACAGCGCTGGAACAGCTTTGCTGACGAAGAAAAAATCATGGAGATGTGATGTTAAAAGATGAAAGGGGTAAAATGGAGGAAAAATCTCACTTTTAAAGCAAAAAAGGGAGTCTTCTTTATCCTGAAAACCTGCTCTGGGCATGTGGATTATCAGGAAGACCCAGGGATGCTGCAGGGGTTAAATACAGGGAGAAAAGTTGTGTTGCTCTTCAAACACAAGGAGATGCAGGTTCATCCTAGATGATGGTTGTCAGGAGAGGTCAACAAGTGGTGGGTATCTCCTAGGTCCTGGTTGCTTCAGGATCTGGAATTTAGAAGATGAGATGTGCTGGTCATGGTAACAGTTAAGATAAAAGCTGTTTAATGTCTGTTGTGTCCCTCATCCCCAAAAATCCATCTTTGTCTTCCGCTCTACGGAGCACACCCGCAGAGCTGGTCCTCAGAAGATTAAAGCAGCTGCATATATAATGTCTCTCCATATGTCCCACCCCCGTTTGAGTCCTTTCTTTAATACGGAAAAAATTAGGTGGTTCTTCAGAGCTGCATTAAATCAGGGGGATTTTAGCCACAGGCACAAAAATCCACATTTACTGTCTTACAAGGAGCCACTGGAGGTGGTTGTGGTTTCTGGATCTCACATATGTGAGATCAGAGCATGGCCAACATGATTAGGTGTGAGTTACCATTTGCTGAAGGGATCAATGGAGACCTTTGAGGTGCTCAGGAAATACCAAGGATGGATGAGGGAATGATGAAAGACTTGATCTAAGGAAGAAGCAGGAGTGCCCTGAAGTCGAAGCCTTGATGATGCTCCCACCCAAAGTCAACACTGCTACTGGGCAGGTCAAGCTTCCCATCCCAGGAGCTGTGGGCTTTGTGGGAACCGATCCTACCACCAAGTTGCACTTGGTTCATCAGTGTCATCCTCACCACCACTGTCCTCACCACATCCATCCTCAATCCCTCCAGTGTGTTGAGTCCTTCTGGTACCTCTCCCAGTCTGAAGTGAAGTTTTGGAGGATCCTGGGTGCGACTACCACTGGCGCACTGAGGACCGATGGCCAGGGCCATCGTCTTTGCTCCTTGGGAGAGCAGTGTGCTTGGCACCTGAGTCTTTGCAAAATCACCTTGGCTGGTGGTGGTGACACTGTTGTCTCCCTTCAGGGCAAAGGACGAGTGCGACGTGGCGCCTACCCCAGCCCGACATCTCCTGTCACGGGACGCTTGCCCTCGGTGACCGACGTCCCCGAGGAGACCATGAGTAGTGAGGAGGCCATGGAGATGGAGGTGACAGAGCAGCAGCAAGTGGCCATGCAGCAGGAGGAGAAGGTGCTGACTGAGCAGATCGAGAGCCTACAGAAGGAAAAGTGAGTCTGACCAAACGTTCAAGCCACGTCCCCAACCTGTGGATGTTGCTCGACATCATCTGGTTAATGACTGGAGGACTCTACCCCTCCATGATCTCTTGGTGTACATGCATCCCTTTCTTCTCCTCCCCACCTTTTTGGTGCTGTTGGGTCAGTGGGGCTGTGTTGGTTTTGACAGGGAGGAGCTGACATTCGAGATGCTGACACTGGAGCCTCGTGCCTCTGACGACGAAACCCTTGAGTCCGAAGCCTCCATCGGCACCGCCGACAGCTCCGAAAATCTGAACTTTGACTCCGAAGGAGCCATCTCCGATCGCTCGGGTCAGTCCAGGCCTTCTTGGGTTTATCATAGAATGGTTTGGGCTGGAAGAGACCTCAGCCATGGAGCGGGGGTCATCTCATTCCAACCCCCCGTCCATGGCTAAGGGACACCTTCCAGCAGATCAGATTTCTCCAGTTTTTCTGTTGCTTTGGGGGGTTATTTGGGGTCTTCTAGTTTATTTAAAGTTGGCAGTTTAATTAGGCACAAAGAGGGGGATTAAAGGTTAAAGCCCATGGCCCTGGGGAGGGAGGTGGGTGGTAGCAGCCAGGGTTTGGTGGGGAGGTGAGCACTCCTCCAGCACTGCTGCATCATCCCAACTGACGCTGCCTCCAGCGAGGTGCTGGGGGCATTGTCCTGGCTCCATGGCACGAGTCCCTGGGGAGCAGCACCGAGATGCTGGGTGGTTTCAGGGTGCTAATCCTCCCGTGGTGCTTCTCCCCCTGCAGAGAGAAGCGTAGCACTTACCTCCCTGCGCCCTGCCAAGGCGGAGGGGCCGAGCCGGCTGCGAAGGCACCCCAGGATGCGGCCGGAGCCGGCAGACCCAACCGATGCCTCAATCTCCTCTTCCTCTTCCTCCCAATCGTCCACCTCCTGCTTGCCCCACCTGCCCCGGAAGCGCTTCCAGATGTACTCCAAATCGCCTTTCTACCGGGCAGGAGGACACAGCGAGTCCCCCGAGACGCGGGCAAGCCCCGAGGGCTCAGCGGGACCTCTCCGTCACCCCGAGGACAGGCCTCAGTTCACCACCCGCGGGACGTTCAACCCGGAGAAAGGCAAACAGAAACTGAAGAGTGTGAAAACTTCCCCCCCAAAAGCCAAAGAGCCCCCAGACGGGGGGACGGGAGGGGGACGCAAGAGGAACCCCGAGGCTGACTGTGCCACCACCCAACCCCTCGTCCTCCTGGGGAGCAACGAGTTCATGGTCTGAGATGCTCCACCCCGGGACGCACTGCGGCGTCCTCCCCGTCGGCAGCACCGGCACGCTCCGATGGCTTCCTCATGGAGGATGAGCTCTTAATCCAAGAGGCTGGTGGGGGATGGTTTTAATGGTGGCCTTAATGGGGGGCCCTTGCGGGGGCTGGGGGTGCACCAGGGCTGGAGGGGCACTGGCCGGTTCCTGTGCCCTTCCCCTCGGAGCATCCCACGGCCCGGAGCATCGCGCCGCAGATCCTCGTGCTGATTTGCTGTCACCCATGGGGAGGAGGAAATCCAAGCCTGAAAATCCCACGGGAGCATCCCGAGGCTCCACCGCAGCCAAGCCCTGTGCGCTTTAACCACCTCATCCACGCCAACACCGAGTGCATGGAAACGCCTCAAAATCTGCCAAAAAAATCACCTTTTTCCTTTAGGTTTTTTTTATTTTTTAACGTGACCTAACCGCCTTTCCTCAGTTGTGTTTTTTTTTTTGGCTTTTTTTTTTTTTCGAGACCATCAGTATTAAAAAATAGTAATAATAATAACCCACGAGGACTACTTGAATGGATGTTGTTCATACCCTGATTCCTGGAGTGTGCTGTAAATATGTATATTTTTATTATTTTTTTGTTAAATATTTTTTCCCCAGACAGGACTTTCCTTTTTTTTTTTCTTTTGGTTTGATTGTTGTTGTTGTTGTTTTGGGGCCAGGGAGGACAGGAGCAATGGGCTGAGCCGTCCTTGGTGTCACAGCCATTGCTCCACAAAACAAAACGTTGAGTTTGTTTCCAGCAGAAAATCCCTGGAGGTGTAATTAGCCCATCAGAGGACTAATTAACAATGCTAGCTAACGACTCTGCTCTTAATCCCTCCCATATCAGCATCATCATCACCCTCAGTGGCACCTGGAGAAGCTCCAGGTACTGGAAAAATGCCTGGGAAGGCAAAATTCTGAGTCCTGGGGCACTAGATGAATAAAGGCTGGATCCGTCCTTCCAGGTGTGCGTTGCAGGTTGAGGCTCATCCTTTTCCCGGAACGCCGTCAAAAATGGGGAAAATGTGTATAAAACAGAGTTTTCCTGAGTATTCAGTGTTTTCCTGCCCCTCTGTTCCCTCTCCCTCTGCCCAAGGGTTGTTTCTTCCCAGGGTTGATTTATTTATTGAGGTTATTTTATGGTTTAAATTTCACTTTTTTTTTTCCCATTCTATACTGAATTTTTTTTCTGATGGAGGAAGTGACAGATGCCACAGGGAGAGTGGGAACAGCACCCACCTTGGTGCTGCATCCTGGGAGTGGAGCAAGACCAAGTCAATCATTCCCCTATCCATTGGTTGGGAAAATGGGATATTCCCAGCCCTAGAGGGGGAAAATAGGGATTTTTGGGACCGACTGGGAAGGTGGATGGTGACCACACCAGTGAAAGCTCCTGGAGAGCCAATCCAAACTCTGCAGGAGCTGGAGTTGGCAGGAGCATCCACGTGCTTGGCACCAAACTGACTTGAGAGTGCTGGGAGCTAAAATCCCTGGATTTGCCCTCAGAGCAGTGCTACACAGGAAGATCCTGAGGGAGGGGGGGAAGTGTTCCAGCCTCATCCCTCTGTTCTCATCCCAGTGAGATAAGGGCAGGGATGGTAGATTGGGCTAGGGAAAGTGCAGAGATATATATATGTATGTTTCTTTTGGAGTGTTGTGTATTTTCCTTACATTGCATCTCTATGTAAGGAAAGTATATTGGAAGGAATATTTGGAAGGGATATTTGGAAAGAATATTTGATACATGTAAAGAACTCTATATATTCTACAGCTAAAGAGAATAGACATAATAAATATTCTCTGTCTAATAGAAAACTATGTGAAAAGAAATACACATGAAGACCAAATCTGTTTCTTTATGTATTTTTTGTTTCTTTTATCTAGAACATACACAAATATATGAGATATATCCAAGGTGAAAAGATATTTCTTTATGTATATTTTTGTGTATTTATAT